ACTTAAAAAGGAGAACTATGGGGTTAGGGCTTCTCCCCCTAGTTCTCCTTAGGGTAACGGGAGGACACAAACTAGCATCCTCCCGTCACCCTAGGCCAGTGGTGGCGAACCTTGGCACTCCAGCTGTGCCAAAACTACAAATCCCAAGATGCATCTGCCTCTGGGAGTTATGTATGTGGCTGTCAGAGCCTTGCAATGCCTCATGGGACTTGTAGTTCCAAAACAGCTGGAGTGCCAAGGTTCGCCATCACTGCCCTAGGCTCAGTATAGCTTGCGCTACCTGTGACAGTCTCATTGTCACAGGTCGGCTAGAATTATGAGGTGAGTGGAAAGCACTCACCTCATAGTTCTCCTTTAAAGACAGTTCCTTTAGAAACATTTCAGACCATGTCCATTTTAGTCAAGCCCATGTTATGTAGTTTTCACATTTAACTTACTATTCTGGCCATGGCTCTTTTAGGCTTTTTTTTCACATAGCCGATTTGAGACTTAGCCCCCAAAAATCAGCGTTCATCCCTGGCAGGGATGCTCGGGAATTTCAGATCAGCCCTGGTCAGCAGATCAATGACAGCCACAGCAGCTGTTCATATGCAACCACACATTGGAGTGATTGCATGCAAGTACAGATGAGCAGCCCTGGACAAAGACAGTTTGCATCCAGGGCTGCAGGATCCAGAAATGTGAGAGGAAAGCCAAGCTGTTATTGTGAAACAAGGAGACACCCTTAAGGGTCAACACACACACACACCAATCTGACAATACAATTTTTGTGCAATCCATTTTAGCTTTACCAAATCTATGTAATATGAGGTCCTACCTAATCCATCCAATAAATCTGCATCCAGACAAGCCCCTGCACTACATAGCTGTTGGTAGATCTAAAAGGAGATTGTGCAATCAGATTGTAACGTGTGTGGTGAACTTAAATCTATATACATTTAATTTTAAGCATCTGATGGCAGATTCCATAGGGTGCTAAAGTCCATCTTCAGGAACATGTAGTTCCCCGTGCTCCCGAGCCTTCGCACCCACTTCACTGCCATCCATTCACTATATTTTTAAAAACCTCCGCTTACAATTTGTTTTTTTAATTTACGCAAGTCGACAGTCACAGGACACTCTGTGGCGCCACTGTTTGCAAGTGCAGTGATCCAGTGCTGCAGCCCAGGCCCACTACCAACCAGTATTGTTGCCACCCATGGTCTAGATGTCATCTGGTTCAGGACCCTGTGACTACACTGCCAATGGGAGGCATCCCTAATCAGGTGACAATTAGCTAATATTAGGGGAGGGGTGGGCCGGAGATCAGCTTCAAGCATCCACCTCTCTTCTAGAACAGATCAAGTATGCTGCTTGATTATTGCACCTGAACAGAAATGTATGGGTATGCAGTTGTCAGACATTAACTCCAAAGTACCTGCCCATTGCCCCTCCATTGTGTTGGGGAAAAACCTGAACTACCAGGTGAGAGGCAAACAAGCACACATTCCCCCATCTCACAACACAGTGCTTGATGCACAAGTGTTATTGTGTGCCTAATCATTACAAGATGTTCAGAAATTCAGTATGTAGATGAGTTC